TGAGCAGACTTGTGGGATCAGCAGAGTCAGGTCTGTACATAAGAATTGATAATAGTAGAAGGTAGACTATCTACATTGAGCACAAGGCGCCCATTTTATTTCCGCTGCACATTGCTGTTTGAGAGGGTTGCCTGCCTCCCCCCACCCCACCCCTTTCTCTGCTGGGGATGGAACACTGAGCCACAGTCCCAACCCCAAATGTTTCCTGTTATAGCTCAGGCTGCCTCCTCAAAGACCCGCGGCCAGGAGGTAATGAGAATTACTAAAATAATTTTCAAACTGTTTTCATTACTAGATATCATATATATGTGGGGTATATATGATAGCTTTAAAGAGTGTTTAAAAAATATGGAGACAGTGTCTTTCTAATTTGCCTGAGGTATATATATATATAGAATAAACCCAGTGGGGTTTGACCTGGACCACTGAGCTACATCCCCATACTTTTCATTTTATTTTAGGAGAGGGTCTCTCGGGGCTGGGGTTGTACCTCAGTGGTAGAATGCCTGCCTCACACACATGAGGCACTGGATTCAATCCTTAGCACCACATAAAAAGAAAGAAATAGAGAATGTATTATCTACAACTTAAAAAAAAATAAAATAAAAAGAGAGGGTCCCACTCTTTGCAGAGGCTGACCTGACCTTGGGCTCCTCTAGCTTTAATCTCCCAGAGAAGCTGTGCTTTGTTTTTGTGTTGAGGTTAAACCCAGGGCCTCCTCATGCTGGGAAAGCACTCTATGGCTGAAGCCTAGCTCAGCGCCAGGTGTCACCTCTGTACCAGAGGCTAAGCCAAGGCTTCCCACCTGGATTAGTCCCCAGCACAGCTGAAAAGCTCAACCTGAAAAGGGCTGGAGCCAGGAATATGTCACTCTACCCAATTTCAGGCAGTGATTGGATGATGCTGGCTGTCTGTCACGATGCAGAGGCGGGCCTGGAGGCCCTCCATCCCGGATGCTGGGGGAACTGCCCAATCAGTGCGCAGAGGGAGAGGAAGGGCGGGCTTCCGCAATATCGCGGGTTTTTCTTCCTCAGCGACTTGGCCTTTCATCCTTCAAGCCAAGGGTTTTCTGCTCCAGGGACTCAGGTGACTCTGCGCTGCCTGTGTCCCCCGTCACCCCCATCTCAGGTGCCTCGAGGTTCCTCGAGAGGATGCCAGGTCACCACAGAAGGCAAAAATGGTGAGTTTGCGACCAAAGCTGAAGGCACGCGGCACAACCTGCTTTGGGGCCCGGTGTCCTGGTGACCTGGGGAGCGCAGCAGAGTCGTGGCCCTGTCCCTTGGCCTCGTGGGGTGAACTGTGTTTGGGGTTTTTAAAGGGAGCTGCTGAGTGTGGCAGATTACACGCTGGCGGGTGGCCCTAGAACCTGTTCCCTGGTTTCCTGGGTTTGGAAGGGCGGCTCAGGTCCCTGGTGTCCCCTTTGCTCCCTACTGGTGGCCCGACCCACTCTTCCCAACGTGGAGGAAGC